CTGCAGTTGGCATCATTGCCTCTGTTTTGTGAGGTGGAGGACTTTGTGGACTGGTGTTGGGTTAATGGGTTGTTGGACTTGTGGGTTTGGGCAGCATTGGGTTGGGGTGTTTTTGTGATGCACATTTTCTTTACATAAAACTCTCTCTTATACATGAGTCGCTGTTGATTTGTTTCTCCAAAGTACCTAGACTAATACACCAGGTGACTATCTGCCTCCGTGTGTGTGTGACTTCCGACAGGGTCTGGCTCTCTCCTCTGGGATGGCAGGCCACGGCTACTGACAGAACTGAAGGCAGAAAGGGGCTGTGTCCACCCTTGCCCCCTAGCTTCCCAGTTCCTCAGCTTCACAGACTCTGTGTGTCCAGCGGTTCTTCTGTCCATAGGCTTTCCCCTTGGCTGCCTCCCCCCAGGCCAATGAGTCATAGCCCCTCTGACACACACAGTTTCAGATCCAAATGACACCTCGTCCCTTTAGTCTCAAGGGAGAACCGTCACAGGCCTCCATGCAGCACTCTCTGTCCGTTCCTTTATTGTATGGGTGGAGCTAATTGGGCCCTCGATGCTTCTTGGAGTCAGCTGACCAAGGTGCGTAAGGAGGACGTGAAAGTTAACAATAATAATAGCCGGCACGAGGCTGTAGCCTTGAGGGACACCAAAGCCCATTGGCCCAGCACAGTCCTCAAAGACAGCACGCCACCTCCTACTCTGGCCAGCGAGTAGTCACTGGGGTCTGAAAAGCTGGTGAGGGCCATCCAAGGTTCAGCTATGGGTCCTCGCCTCCAGAGGAGAGAAGAGTGAGGGAACTCAAAGATGTAGGGAAACAAGGAGTCCGGCGGACAAATCATACACAAAATCTTAGCCTCTACGACCCTGACACAACAAGGGGAAGATGGCACCCTACCATCTGGGTATAGTGCTACCACTACCAACTGCTCTGAAAGGGCTCAATTGCATTAGAAGGGCCTGGAGAGAGTAGAAAGGGAACATGGAAAATCAAATTCAAAAAGCATAAAAAAAGACCAGGCCTACTGGTCAGATAAGGACCCACTCACCTCCACCCAAGTGACTACAGCCCCCAGTTACTCACCCTTCGGGCCTGGAACTGAACGTACCACCCACAAAGGATCATTCTACAAGAGGAACAACAATAAAGAATAACAGGGAGATACGCACATTTTAGAACCATCCCGTTTGAGATCCAAAGGCAGCATCTGCCTAAGGGCTAACTTGAGAAGGGTTAGAAGACAGAGGAGGAACAGAAACAGGGAACTCTGGGAAGGAGGGGGACACGTGGTGGAGCACTATGTGGATAGCAGCCAGTGTCCTAACAAAATGCATTTTAATCGTTGGATGGAATATAGTTTGCTGTGTGAACCTTCACCCAATTCACAAAACCAAAACCCCCAAACTGGCCCGTACTGAGCGCTTGCTTACTGCCACGGAAAGCTCGCTCACAGTATTTCCTCGGCAACTGTCAGGGTAACAACAGTGTGAGGTGGCTACCCGTAGGAGCTTCAATTTATAGATGAACAGACATGAGTTTCAGAGAGATCAAATGACTTGCCTGAGGTCACTCGGCTGGTAAAAGGCAGAAATAGGAGACAAATACCTGGATTTGGCCCTAGAGTCCTTAACTCTGATGTTGTCTTTGGCTTAATGAAAGTCTGAGGACAACGAAGACGGGGTGCACCCTCCCTGTGGCCACTCAGCCTGGCCTCTGGTGAGGCTTCAGGAAAGGGATGTGTATGTGGTAACCTGGTGGCGTGGTGGTTACGTGTTGGGCTGCGACCTGCAGGGCTGGCAGTTTGAAACCACCAGCTCTCCTCTGCAGAAAGATGGGGTATTTGCCTAGGCAGTGTCTGAAACTCACAGGGGCAGTTCTACCCGCCCCATGTCACTAAGAGTCGGCATTGACTGGGACCTGGGACCTCATAAACGTACTCCTCTTCCAATGTGTGTGCCTCTGAGCAGGTTGTCCAACTTGGTTCTCCTGTCCATTTCTGAAAGTCCGGTTTTCCTGCATCTGTGCAAAGACATGCCACGGCTTGGGGGCTGGAAGCATTTTGCCTGGACCCTTCCACGAATAGATGAATATCCCTTTCAAATATCCCGTTTGAAGTTTAGGTTAAGTATGGGCTTTGCCTGTCTATCTGGAACGCGTATTTCTTCAAATCACCCAGCTCTCTGCCCAGAGAGGCCTGCCCTGCCTGGCTGCCTTCAGGGAAACAGCTTGCTACCCTTGCAACCTCTGCCATCCCTGATCTGACCTTTGTGAGTACTGGCCCGGTGGGTGTTGTGAAATTCAAATGAGTTCACACAGAAAACACTGGTAAGCAGTGCGTGTTACTGCGAGGGGTTGCTGTACTTCACATTTCACCCCAGCATGCAGGCCATCTGCTTGAAGTGTGTACTCTCTCTGCCTCCAGGACGACAGCGAGGTGGTCGGCTTGCTCACTGCTGCCCCTCCAAAGTCTAGAACTGTGTCTGGCACAGAGAAGGGGCTCCGTAAACGCTTGCTGACTCCAGCGAGTTAACTGAGGTCTGGAGAGGCGGAAATTATTCTGGCTTTTATTCATGCATTCGACAAATATTTACTGAGCTCCCACTCAGAGCTGGCTAGACGTGCTGTCAGCTGCTCTCAGTTTTCCAGATATTAGCCAGTGAGTCCGACAGAGCTGAGAGTCTAGCATCAAGTTTCATTTTCTGGAATCATCGACCTACAGGGCAACACCACACTGTTCTAAGAGAATTTGAGAAACGCGTGTTCCCGAGCAACCCACATCCTGTAAAGAAATAAACCATATTGAATAGAGTATTCCTTTGACCTCCGCAGGGCGGGGGTTCGACTCTCACGTGACAGGGAGGCAGCCCAGGCACAGCTGCTGCTAGATGAAGAGCCTTCTAGCCAGGACCGCTTGACTGGGA